GTCCCCGCCCTTTTTTTTCAAATAACACTCAAACTCAATAATAATGAAAGGTAGCCTACAAAGCTTAGACTTCTCCGGCATATTAATCATTTTTTCTATAACCCCCCTATGACTACATCAACACCACCGACGCCTAATTTAAAAAATGTCTCCCGCACTGTCCCTGTCTCTTACCGAAGACGAACACGAAAGGAAATAAGAGCAGGTGGGTGGGAGTTGCCGTTCGTCTCTTCTACTACGTCCACAACTCTGTATTGAAGTACTGCCGGGACTGCTGCTGCTACTCCAACAACGCATAATGTACTGCTGTCTTTATAAACTACATAACGAAACGATAGGTAATGCTGACAAAGTATTTAGTTAAATAACACTTGAGACTACCTCAGAATCTAAACCTTTGCAACATTGTAGGCTACTCTGACTTTTTGGTTAAACATTTGATTTGTGGTTTCCTGTTGTAGGTGAAGGACGCTAAACGAAATGAAATCATTTACCATAAGATAAATAAATACTATATAAATTATCAAACAAATGAACGAATGAATGAACGAATGAATGAATGAATGAATGAATGAATGAAGGAATGAAATGAAGGAATGAGAAAAACAAGAAAAGAACAAATTAATTAAATGAATAAATGAAAGAATCAAAAACACACATATACAGGCTTTCTGATTCCGGGTACACATGCTAGAAATAATATGTGAGGCAACGTGGTGGAATCAGGCTCTCGTCAATTTTTGGGCATGTAGAGTTATTGGTATCATCTTATAGCTTGTTCACTTGTCTTTATTAGGATGAAAAAAATATCCATTTATCGTGAATACAACTCGAGTTATTTGCGAATGAAGGAGGTGGGGGGTCACCTGTTTTCAGAGGTAAAATTATTGAGAAAATGGCTGCCAAAGATTAGTTATTTCTTTAGCTAAAGACTCCGTGGTAACTGAAAAATTTCATTTTTTGTGCCATTAATCAACGTTTTCAGAAAAATCCACACAGAAATGAGTTCTTTAATGGGCGTGAAAGGTGTTGAGCCAAAAAACAAAAAGTTTATAAAAATACACAAACCTGAGGAAAAATGCAAGTTTCTTCACTTTGATTATTTTGAAGAGAACCTGATTCCACCACGCTCCATCAGATATACCAAAGGTCAAAGAGAACAATATGAAAAGCAAGGCAATGAAAGTAATCGCTACGTCAATCTACACAGGATCATTGCATAAAAAAATTTAATTAAAACGACAGTACATCGTATTACATCAATCAACAATATTGTGACTTGTGCAAATAAATCACCAGCACCGCCATCAAGGAAATAAAAAAGGTGGTAATAACTAGTGATATAACAAAGTCGTATAATTAGACAAAACCCCCATAATGACAGCAACAGAACTGTGAATGTTTTCAGCTGCTATCGACACAATTCCGATGCTTTGACGCTGCCCCGCCCCCCCCCCCCCCCCCCCGACATCCAACCTCCTTCCCCTCTAATACCAGGCCCTGAGGGGGGAAAGACGGAGACGACTTTGGGTACAACATATTATTCACAACTAATTGCTGTCTTTAGAGACTACTTTACGAAACGATAGATATTGTTGAGTTTGAAATAATGATGATTTTAATAACACTCTAGATCTAGACAACATCTAAAGATCTTTAATTTCATACGTGTGTGGGCTGCTCTCGTTGTTTGGTGAAACATGTGTCACGACGTGGTGGAATCAGGCGCTGGTCATTAGGAACAAAGGGTTATTGGTATCACTTTAAAGCCTGTTCATGTGCCTTCCTTTTGGTGAAAATAATAGCTATCAATGTTGAATAGAAGTCGAAATATTTGCAATTGAATGAGGTCAGGGTCAGAGGTAAAATTTGCAAGAAAATGGCCGCCAAAGTTTGGTAACTTCCATAGCCTGAGAGTCCTTGGAAATTGAAAACTTACATTTTTCTGGGCCTCTAATCAATGTTTTTCAGAAAAAGATCAACACAAAAATTTGTTTTTAAATTGACCTAAAAATATGTTGAGCAAAAAAAGAAAATAGTTTTAAAAAGTTCCCATAGTCCAAAACCCAAAAAAAGCCGATTTCTTTGATTTCATTATTTTGACGAGCGCCCGATTTCACCACGGTGCCTCACATTTGATTTGTCGTTTCTTGTAGCTGGTGAGGAATTGTTTTCCTGTGGTTGGGGTTGGATACAAAACAAAATCAAAACGTTCATCACCAAAAAAAAATCCAACAAACAAACAAAAAATCATGAACACACTTACATGCTATCTTATGCTGGGCACACATACTAGACGTCATAATGTACCAAAGGTCAATGAAAACAACATCAACGGCAAGGTTTTGAACGTTACGTTAGAAACAGGGCCCTTTTTGAAGCGTGAAAACAGCTCATTATGTTGCTTTGATAATATAAGGCGTTAACCTTTTTCCTATCTGCCTGAAGACTTTATTTTTTCCCCTACATTCTGTTGGAAAAACTACTAGAGCTAGTATTACATGTGCATTTAAAAACTACCGCTGCTTTTTCAAACTCCACAATGGCTTCCCAGACAATACATAATATACAGAGAGAGAGAGAGAGAGAGAGAGAGAGAGAGAGAGAGAAAG